CACATTGGGAAAAATAACCCCAACTACACATACAATATGATGGGAGCTAATTTAGCTACAACTAATCAGGAAAGAGATCTTGGAGTCATCGTGGATAGTTCTCTGAAGATGTCCATGCAGCGTGCAGTGGCAGTCAAAAAAGCAAACAGGATGTTAGGAATCATTAAAAAAGGGATAGAGAAGAAGATGGAGAATATCTTATTGCCCTTATATAAATCTATGGTACGCCCACATCTTGAATACTGCGTACAGATGTGGTCTCCTCATCTCAAAAAAGATATACTGGCACTAGAAAAGGTTCAGAGAAGGGCAACTAAAATGATTAGGAGGTTGGAACAGGTCCCATATGAGGAGAGATTAGAAGCTAGGACTTTTCAGCTTGGAAAAGAGGAGAGTAAGGGGGAAAATGATAGAGGTATATAAAATCATGAGTGGTGTGAAGAAAGTGAATAAGGAAAAGTTATTTACTTGTTCCCATAATATAAGAACTAGGGGCCACCAAATGAAATTAATGGGCAGCAGGTTTGAAACAAATAAAAGGAAGTTCTTCACACAGCGCACAGTCAACCTGTGGAACTCCTTGCCGGAGGAGGTTGTGAAGGCTAGGACTATAACAGGGTTTAAAAGAGAACTAGATAAATTCATGGAGGTTAAGGCCATTAATGGCTGTTAGCCAGGATCGGTAAGGAACGGTGTCCCAAGCCTCTGTTTGCCAGAGTGTGGAGATGGATGGCAGAAGAGAGATCACTAGAGCTAGAAATAATTATCAAGAACAATGGCAGCCAAGGTTTCACCCCAGCACACGCCTCCATCCAAAACTGTTAACACATGGAAATAAAAAGCTAAGAGGATAGACTTTGGGATTCCTTCCCACGTCCATATTGCCTGTAGGGCTGGGAGTTCCACACTTCAGCCCTTAAGGCTTCCACTTCCATTTCGAAACAACCAAAAGCAGCATGTACCCAACATCAGCAAACTTGCACCCTTAACAGTGACCTCTAATGCGTTTCTATCAAGAGCTCAGCACCTCTGACTGTCACATGGCCTACACACTGGGAAAGTTCCTTTTGCCTTAATACAGCCAGGTGCTTGTTAAGGTTTTGTGGTTGGAGATAGTGACTGGGGGCTTGTCTACACTTGAAAGGCTGCACTGGCCCCTGCAGCGCTTCAGTATAGACACCACCTATCACCAACGGGCGGGGTTCTGCTCTCGACGGAGTTATGACTAGAAAGTTACGAAATACTCAATAGGCAAATACACTCTCTGTATAACTGATCTTTGGGCAATCACCATCTGAGAAGCAACAATGTGGCCAAAGGACAGAGCCCAGAGTGTCTTAGATTTCTTGCAAAATGGGTACGTTTTTCATCAGACCAGGAACAAGTCAAATTATACTCAAAGTTCATGTTGTGGATTTTGCTACTTCAATGAGAATTTTAGAAATTAAAGGTTTAAAACTCCTGTGAAACTGAAAACATCTGACAACTCCTTAACCATAGAGCCAGGGCCAGCACCACTGTAATTACTATCACTAGTAAGCCTACTGGAGACCACTGAAATGCTCACATTCCCTCCCAAGGCAAGAGTGAAACCAAACACTCCAGTGATGCTGGGGCACTTTATAAAACGTGGAGACAAAGTCTTTCTACACTACACGGGGTAGCACTGATAGACCAGAGGGGACAATCTGGTGCTTGATGTCATTGGAGCAGGGGTTAAAGTAACTTAACGGACTTACTAGTACGCAGGGTGGCCAGGTGTTGATTTAAAGGGCCTGGGGCTCTGGCCCTTGCTGGGAGCACTGGGCCCTTTTTAATCACCAGGCCCCAAGGCAACTGCCCCTTTTGCCCCCCCATCAGTGGCCCTATTAGTACAGTTGGCTGTGTACCGGCTTCCTTACCGGTACGCCGTACTGGGCGGGACCGACTTACTTTCACCTCTGCATTGGAGCCACAGTGGCTTACGCCTGCAGTGACTTTTTGTTCTCCTCTCTCTCCCATGGGCAGCTCTTTCTCACTTAGTCTTCTCAGTTGGACTCTCCTGTCACACTCATGCAGCTTCTAGCAGGAATTTTACCCTCTGACACCAGTAAGTGCTAAGGATTCAGATACCTGCCTGCCAGAGGGGCAGAGAGCCAGACAGATGTCTCCAGGAGAGCCGCTCTGCAGAACACGAGGAAAAAGTTTTATTGCAAAACACATTTCATTGGTGCCGTGTGTTACAGGTTAGCAGTAAGTGAGATGACCACTTTTGAGATACAATCTGAGGCTAACCTCTCTGCGTGCATGTCTGAGAGTCCAGATGATGATTGGGTCATTCCCAGGAGCTTGCTGTAGAAGAGACCGGAGGGGTGAAGACGAATGATGGAAAAGGAGCTGTAGAAAGTGCAATCCAGCTGCTAAGAGCCCAAATTGAACTGCGGAAAGGTGACAAGTCTCTCCTTCCAGCTCTCAGGCTCTGACACCTTATGTTTCTGCTACATTTGTGATGGGGAACTGTGCCCCTTAGGGCTCATCCCCTCCTTTCTCCTCACTCTGGAGTAAGCGCTGGATCCACTGAACCCTTCAGCCGGGCTGACTGTTACAGGATTTCATTTACACAGATCTATGTGGGCTCTAGGTGGGAGTAGCTGCTGTGCAGAGCTGGGAGCTCAATCTTTCTTCTGCTGGTTCCGAGCCATTCCTAAACTAGGAAGGAGCTACAACAAAAAATCCAGAAACCACCAGTTAATGGAGGAGACATGCTTGGTACTAGTATCTTTTTGTTCATACCCATCATGGAGCATGTTTGAGTTCCTGATCAGGGCAATAGAACAGGAGGGAAGGGATGTCCACCATGTACATGTACACACACACACACACACACACACACTCATAGAGGGAGGACTGCTGATTGAAACAGGACTGAGCATAATTAGATAGAATGTGTCATCCCAAGGTGTGAAATTTGGAGGCTCTCACCATGTCTGTCTGGCATCTCCCTGGAGTTCTTCCTGTACCGTATGTTCACCCAGATGATACACAGAAAGATGGGGACTTTCCAGATAAACAGGAGCAGGAAATGGACGTTGCTGAGCTGGGATCTATGGAGGAGAGAGTAAGTAGAAGTTGTGAAACCCAGCAGATATGACCTGACTACTCCCAACTGAGCGTTCCCTAGCTGCTCTGCCTGAGGGTGATGGTATGAACAAGGAGAAGAGAGGGGGACAGACCGCAGCACCCTCCCTTGCTAGGATATCTCCCAATTAATCACACTAACTGCCTTTGACCCACGGGACAGTCATCCAGACATCTAGACCCTGAAGTGATTGGACCCAGAGAGGCCCTGTCCAGTGCTTCCCCGCAACAAGAGTTGCTAGTTTCCTGACAAGGAATCTAACCTTGCAAGGTCCCTATGTTAGTTTGTTCTGTGGGATCCTATCACCAAGGATGAGAGTATTCTTTGCTTCTCTGCGTAAAGTGTGCAACCTTTTTTTCTCTAAACCAGTAGTTCTCAACTAGGGATTTGCTTCCCCTCGGGGTGCACAGAGGACTTCCAGAGGGTACATCAACTCATCTAGATATTTGCCTAGTTTTACAACAGGCTACATGGAAACCACTAGTGAAGTCAGTACAAACTAAAATTGCATACGGACAATGACTTGTTTATACTGCTCTAGATACTATACACTCAACTGTAAGTACAATATTTGTATTCCAGTTGATTTATTTTATAATTATATGGTAAAAAGAGAGTCAGCAATTTGTCAGGAATAGTGTGCTGGGACACTTGTATTTTTGTCTGATTTTGTAAGCAAGTAGTATTTAAGTGAGGTGAAACTTGGGGTACATAAGACAAATCAGATTCCTAAAAGGGGTAAAATGAGGATAACACTGTTAACCCACTAAAAAGTGTTTGCCTATGAGAGGTAGGTGCTGCCCCATGAAAAACCTGAATAATTGCAGGTACACGTCGGCCCAAAGGGGGCGCTCACAAGAGATGGGTGCTGATGCTGTTACAACCCCACTTCTTATAGTAAGTGAGCATTTCACAGATATTCATTAATTTACTCTCACAAAATCCCTGTGAAGTAGGGAAGTAGTATTACTTCTGTTTTATAGATGAGGAACTGACACACAAAGAGATAAGTGATTTGCCCATAGTTACAGAGGAAGTCTGTGGTAGAGGTGGGAATTGAATCTAGATCTTCTACACCCTAGCTCAGCACCTCAAACACAAGCCAGATGTTCTTTTTTATTATGCTTTCTGTTTCCAGGGTCCTTTGTTTCCCATGGTTCACAGCAATGCCTGAAATTCATGGCTGGGTCCAGATATTTATTAAGAAGTACAGCAATGTTCAGTTGCTTTTCGACCCTCTCACCCTCATTGGGCTTTCTGTAGGAAGCCTGATTAACACTGGTCATGGAGTATAAATGACTGATGCCAATGAAACATAATTTATAATAATCCATTGTTTCTGGATGGTCACAAATTCCCTTTGCAAGAAGAAAGAGGCTTAAATCTGCAAGAAAAATAAATAAAATTTCCATGCCATCAACCCATACTGCAGGGTGAGGGATAGATGGGGGTTAGAAGGCCCTCCTTGCATAACATATTACATGCAAAAAAACCACATTAAAATAATATTAAGGTTGCAAAATCAAGCAACGAAAAGTTCAGAGATGCCGGAATTAAGGTGGTCTGTGCAATTGGAAGAGGTTTTTACTGAGCATGTGCAAACACGGATTTTTCAAAGGCTTATAAATTGGCCAACTTTGGCTGGATTTTCACAGCAACAGCAAAAGGTATGTCCCTGACACACAGACCACCATTGGCCAGATTTAAAGTCCCGGCTCTGAAGTGTGGAGGCACTAGAGCGTCTCAAAGAAAAGGTGGAGAGAATGTTTGTTAACATTGCAACACAGCATATTTATCCCTGGCCTTGTTCTCAGAAATATCTGAACGGTTTGGTTGAAACTTAAAACACAACAACAAACAAAACAAAAATCATTCTGAGGTAGACACCTGGCCTGGAAAATGGAAAATTCAAGTTTAGCAAAGTTAAAAGCAACTAAAACAGGGTCTTACAATGGGAAGTGTTGGGGAGGCAACCTTAATAATACCATCCCCCGCAATAATGCATAGATACAGCCCTGAGGCCCATGTTCCTCCCCAGGCACTTCTCCTCTCTGCAGATGGTGATCGCCCTGTGTCCAGCCAGTTCAAAATTCAGTTCTGTGGGTTTTAAGTTCCTGTATGAAAGCAGGCTGGGATGTGGGTGCCTGACCTGATTTGATTCCAGAGCCTGATAGATTTAATCACAAGGACACCTGTGAGCATATAAATTATCTTTCCATCCTTCTCTCCGACGCCTGGTTCTGTTTCCAGTTTAACTTGCTGTCGGAGGTGGTGACAGGGGGAACTACCCTCTCTCCTGATCTGGAGGAAAATCCTCCTGCAGGCAGGTTTCATTCGTGGTCCTGCTAAGCTCCCTTTTTGCACCACGTGTATGATGTTCAAACATAGACACAAGGTTTCTCTCTTGTCCTGCTGAACAGATCCTGGGGAGTTTCATTGGCTCTTTGAACTCACTCCTCACAAGAGAACAGAAACTGTTTAATTCCATCAGGCCACACGGCCATCGGACAAACCAAAAGATTCCAGTTCCAGCTGAGTGTGTCCGTAAGTCCTCTGCCTACAACAGCTGCTGGAGTTTGTACAGGTCAGATTTGCTTCTAAACCCGGTTACTTCAAGTTTTGCCAGGTAGGGATCAAGCCGCTTGGAGAAGGACAATGTGACTTGTCTGGGCTGTGCATTGTCTGGGCTGTGTATCACGTTTATTTTTAACCTGCTCTAGCTATATCAGCACCTTTATTCGTAGATAATATTATCCCCCACCCCTTTGTTGTCTGCCCAGGTCATAGAAACTTTGAGGGAGAAGCTTTGTCTGGATCCCTATGGGTGGGTTGGTCACACCCAGCCACCCACTCCTGCCCAGCTGACACTAAGGATTTCCAAAGCTGCATTAGTCTGGTGATTTCCCCCATCTCATGGCTCATTTCTCATGCACAGTATTGTATCTGGACACTATCGCACACTGCATGGGAATGTGCATAGCCAGCTACTTAACTAACTTCATCTGTCCCTTTTTTTAATCTTGTCTTTGAAATAAGCAGCAGCCTCTCTGGTACAGCTGATAAATATGTGCTTTAACTAACTTGTGGTGACTTTTGTTAATTCTTTGGTATTTTCTGCTCTAATCCTACAGACATTTTAAGCAAATACTTAACGTTATAAACATGCTTAAAGTTAAGCAAGTATGTGGAAGGGTTTGCAGGATAAAGGGCTTAGACATTTTGGTTTCCTTTAGGTTTTTTCCTGGTGCCAGGGATTCTGTAGTTTTAATCCACTTTTAATTTTAGCTGATAGAAACATTATTTTGTTTGAAGGGACAGCGTCAGCTCTAATTTGGCCCCAAATTTAGATGTTGTAAAAATGTTTACAAAAACCTAAGACCAACGGAGATGTTTCCATGAATTATTTTAAATTCCAATGTAAATAAGTAAGGATGTCACTTGCAGCGGTGGCATCTGGCAACTCAAACCTGGCAGGATTATGCTAGTCAGTGCATGGGCTGGAGTGGAACTAATTAGAAGCAAAAGTGAAACTGACCAGTCGGCTTTCATTCTGGAAGATGCACAGAGCTCAAAAAGCGAACAAAATATACGGGGGAAAAGATCATTCGATTTTTAAAATTCTTAGTGTGAAATAGTTTGGCTCTAGATCTTGCAGTTTGTCTACAGCTGGAGCTTGTTCAGTGCTGATTCGGCCGCACCCTTTGCTGACTCTCCTTGTCAGGAATAGATCGTATAGACCAGGATGTAGATGTCCATGGGACTAGTCATGTGACTCAAATGGCCCATGTGCTTACATGGTTGCAGGGGCAGACTCTCAGACGTGGTGCAGGAAGAGGGAGAAACAAGCTGTGAGGAGGGAAATGAATGAGGAAGGGGGATGGTTACAGCAGTATGATCACATGGCTTTCCCAGCAGGCAGGGCACGTGCTTAGACTTTGTGGTTTGGGCTGTCATCACGCCTAGGGGTCAGGTGTGAGCTTGAGAGCCCAGGCCCCAGTGTCTGCACAGCTATTTTTAGCCCATTATCGCAAGCCCCACGATCACAAGTGTGTGTACCCAGGCTGGGAGCTCACACCCAGCTGCAGTGTAGACACACCCATAAGTGACTCTGGCTGGAGCAGTGGTACTCACTCAGAGGCAGTGGTGTCCTGGTTAGTGGAGAAGCTGGATTTCCCTTTCTCAGCAGTTGTCCAGAGGGAAGTAGATATTGAGGGGGAAGAAGAAGCTGGTTGCACTGTCGCTGATGATGACCTTTTTGTTGGGGTTGGGGAAGAATTAGCTGAGGATAAAAACACTCAGTAAATCAGATTCCCCAGGACGAAAGGCCGTTTTCTCAGTGCTACTAAAAGTTCTTGTTCCTAAAAACAAGGTTTAGGCTTTAAGAGACACAGGGGAGGGATTCTCCTCTCTGCCGAGGCCCCTGCAGGCTGCTCCGGTGGGCTAGAGGGGCCAGGAAAGCCCTGCAGTCACCAGGGCAGAATTGCCCCAGCATAAGACCTGCATCAGGCTGCAACAAGTGGCCCTATGCTGCCTCCCACCACTGAAATATTGGCATGGGGTATGCCGGGCTGGGGGCGGGGGGGCATGTCTCTCTCTGTCACTTAGGGCCATAGAAATTCTCTGCTTCTGGGGGATGCAGAGTAGGACATGGGCAGCCCGTGGGGGCACGTTGTGGGAAATTAGAGTAGCCGCTTCTCTACCTAGTGCATGTGACAGCTCAGAACTGGAAAAATACCAGGGTGACTTAAAGCCAATTTTGCCTCCCTCCCCGTGGGGTGTGCCTCTCATCGGCGGAACACAGAATTTTAGCCATAGATTCTTCACCTCTGGCCAGCCCATGCTTTGCTGAATTAACACTCCAGAAACATAGTTAGTACATCCACCCTCGCTGATCTCTTTGCGTCTGCACTGGGGGGTGCAACCTGGCAGGATCGAGGATCACAAGTCAATACATGTAGATTTCAGGGCTGGAATTGGACTCCACTAGTGCGAATTCTTATTGAATGTGAGATTTGTGTATGGTCGGGGGGGGGGGGGGAGAGTAAAGGGCAGGGCCAATATTTATATTTCCCCTTAACCAGTGAGGTATGGCATAAAGTGGGGGGGGGCTGGTCCTCACAAAACATCAGCCCTCTCCTAAGAACACAAGAATGACCATATGGGTCAGACCAATGGTCCATCTAGCCCAGTATCCTGTCTTCCAACAGTGGCCAGTGTTTGGTCCTTCAGAGAGAATGGACAGAACAGTTAATTATCAAGTAATCCATCCCCCGTCACACATTCCCAGCTTCTGGCAAACAGGCTAGGGACATCTATAGCATGGGGTTGCATCCCTGCCTATGCTGGCTAATAGCCATTGATGGACCTGTCCTCCGTGAACTTATCTTGTTTTTTTTAAACACTGGTACGGTGTTGACCTTCACAACATCCCCTGGCGAGGAGTTCCACAGGTTGACACTGCGAGTCTTTTATTCACTTAGAACTTCCCCATTCCTATCAACAACAGTGATACCCAGACCCCACGGCTGCCAGCTCCTGTCCTCTCCCGGTTAGGGAGGAGTCCCACAGGGCACTTAACAGCCCCACCCTCGGGAACCAAAGCGGCGTCACCAATCAAGGTTCCCCCTTAAACCCGAGCGAGTGACTGGGAGCTCAGTGAGTAACACGAGTCCGCAGGCTCCAGACGAGGGCTGGACACACACGATCTATGATGAGAATTGCCCAGGGTGAAAGCAGAGCCCCTTCCCCCGCTGCAAACCCCCCTCCACACCCGAGATACGACCCAGTGCAGGCAGAAGCTGCCCTGCCGCGTTATATACAGGTGCTGGCGGCCGGCCTGGGTGAGGGGCGCTCACCGTGTTCCCCGGGGCGAGCGCTGGGCGGGGCACTAGGAAACTGGGATGGATCTAAAATTCACTCTCCAGGGCAGCGCCTTGGTTGACACCCGGTGCCCCCCCCACCCCGCTCCGCACACACGTGTCCAGTGCTGCAGCCCCGCAGAGCCCAGAGCGCCGGACACCGGCCTGCCTGGCTGCGGGCCCCGCAGTCCCGCGTTCCCTCGAAGAGCGGCGCCAGGATTTACCTGGGGAGACGGTGACTTCCACAGTGTCCCTGAGATCAAGCCCAGTTCTCTCTACCCCGCAGTGGTACGTGCCGGCGTCTGCCCGTGTCAGGTGCTCCAGGGTCACAGTGAACACGCGCTGGGTGTGATTGTCTCGGATGGAGACTCTGTCCCGCGTCACCTCCGCCTCCGACCCATCGGTCTCAACGATGTGACCGTTGGAACAGAACAAACCTCCTCCTTCCAAAGCTCCTTCCCGGCACCAGAACTTGTGATAACGCTCATAGCCCGTCCGGTACCGGCACTGCACAGCCACCGACCCGCCCTGGGGGCCGCGCACTGCCCC